GGGGGGGGGGGGGGGGGGGGGGGGGGGGGGGGGGGGGGGGGGGAGTTTGAGGGAGCGGGGAGATGTGAAGGAATTCACCGCAGGCGGACAGATGGCCTTAAGCACATTTCCGAGCTACGATAATGTAAGTAAGAAGTAAGCTCTGCCTGCCTCTGCTCTCCATCCTCAGGTGTGGAGTCTGTCAGAGCAGGGGACCCTGCTGGACATCCTGGAAGGCGTCGGAGCCCCTGTGAGCCTGCTGGCCCGGGCTGGGGCCTTGGTGGCATCTGCTTCCCAGCAGTCCTCATCTTTTAAAGTCTGGGATCTCAGCTACGCTCAGAAGCCACGGGCCTCTGCGCCGTTCCTGGACCGCACCGGCCTCACCGCGGTGTCACACGATGGCGGCTACGTTTACTTCCCCAAGATTGGGGACAAAAACAAAGTCACCGTTTGGGATGTGGCAGAAGGTTTGTAAGATTTGCGTGGGTCGGAATGGAAGCCCCTGTCTTGGTCTGGTCGGGCGTTATAATAAAACGCCATAGCCTGCGGGGGAGCTTGAGCAACACACACTTGTTCCTCACGGTCTGATGGCTGAGAGTCCAAGATCAGGGCGCCGGCAGATGGGTGTCTGGTGCGAGCCGGCTTCCCGGTTTGCAGATGGCCATCTTCTCGTGTGTCCTCAAATGGCCGAGAGCAGAGAGAGGTGCAGGCATCATGTCCCTCTCATAGGGGCACTCACCCCATCGCGAGGGCTCCATCCCCCACAGTCCCCACCTCCTGATACATCACGCTAGGGGTTAGGATTTTCACATATGACTCTGGGGGGACACAAACTTTCGGCTCATAACACACCTGTAACTCCAGTCAGGTCGCATGTGGCTAATAGAAAACAGGATTTGATGTTACAAATTTCTAGCATAAGGCAATTGATAGTCTGGCTGTCAATCCCCGTTTCAGTGCAGGTCCCCTGGAGGCAGGGCGCATGATGGGGATATTTGCACAAGTGTTGTGTAGGGGGTCACTCCCAGGAGAAGGAGAGAGAGCGGGGAGCAGGCTGGGGCGGGGAAGGCCAGAGCAAGGAGGTGGGCTCAGCCTGACGTGGGCTCAACCCTCACGGGGACCTGGGAGCATGAATTGCACCTCAGAATTGTCCCATCTTGAAGCACGGAGGCCAGCCGTTTATACTGTCACCTCAGGCAGTCATTGGCCTAGTGCCGTCCTTGTGGGGCAGGCACAGCCCTCCAGGCATTTCCAGATAAGGGACGCCCTTCACCCAAGGGCGATTCTCAAGGAATTGAGAGAGACGAGTGTGGCAGTGGGCAGCCTTGGGTCTGGGCGTGTCACCAACGTATCTGCTGCCATCCCCAGTGGGGAGATGGAGATATAGAAATTCTTTGTTAGTGATAAAATAATAGAGGAAAAGAAATTCACTCTCAAGTTCCTGCATCCAGGGATTTGGCGTCAGTCTAGGGCCAGCTGCGGGGCTGGGCTCTGGGGGCTGGCAGTGAGCAAGTCAGACAAGGTTACGATTCTCCAGGTGCTTGCCTGATAGTCGCGGGCAGAGCGGGCCACTGAGAATGAAGCGCAGTGGGGGATGAGATCTGAGTCTGCAAACTCAGGCCCGCGGGCCAGACCCGGGCACACCCATTTGTTTACACCCGGTCTGTGGCTGCTTTAGGGGCTGCACCAGCAGGTTCAAATGGTCAGACAGAGAGCATACACCCTGCAAGGCAAAAATATTTGCTCTCTGGCCTTTTCCAAAAGTTTGTAAAGGAAACGTTTGGGATGAGGTCTGGGAGGTCACCTGAGGCCTCGAGGACTGCGGACGGCGCGCTTCCGTTCTGAGGGTGCAGGAAGTCACCGAGGGCGTCGGGCAGGGCATCGAGATGAGGCGACTTTCATTTTTAAAAGTTGGGTGGTTAGGGGGCAGCTGTGGAAGCAGGGCAACTCGCAATAGCCATGTCCAAGATTATAGATAATGCAATATGGAAAAAAGGCTTAAAAATAAGAAACCGTGGAACAAGCGTTCCTGTGATCACTTCTTGGTGTGGTCTTCTCCCCATGGCAGGTGAGGAACGAGAGGCCCTGGACACCTCCAATGAGGTCAGGTGCCTGGAGGTCGCCGAGCAAGCCAAGCTTCTCTTCACCGGCCTCGTTTCCGGGGTCGTCCTGGTGTTCCCCCTGAATTCCAGACAGGACGTGATGTGCATCCCCCCTCCGGAGGCCGGGAAAGCCATCAACTACATGGCCCTGAGTAAGGATGAGGAGCGCCTGGCCGTCGCCTACGACAGCCTGGTCTTGGTGCTGGACATCAGCCCCGGGGACCCCTGTCCGGTCATCGGCGGGCCAACCTACACCTTCTACACCCAGCTGCCTGAGACCATAGCCAGTGTGGCCGTGCTGGCCGACTACCGCGTGCTCTACGGCATGACCAACGGCGGCCTCTTCCTTTACGAGTGTGCAACTTCCAAAGTGTTCCCTCTGGAGGCGCATGGGAGCCGGGTCGCCTGCGTGGAGGTCAGCCACAAGGGGCAGCTGGCAGTCAGCGGGTGCGAGGAAGCGCTGCTGTGTCTCTGGGACCTGCAGGCCTGCAAGGGGAAGTTCGAGATGAGCTACACGGTGCGTGGCCGGCCACACCACATGCGTGCCAGGTCCCAGCATTAGAAACCCAGGACAGGCGCCATTTATTAAGTGCACACCACCTGCCACCGACCTGGGTAGGGACTGGGGTGAGGCGAGTGAGACGCACTCGCCTTGGGTGCAGAGTTTCAGGGGCTGCCAAAAAACTCGGCAATCAGGACAAACAACATTTTAATGCGATGCTTAAAAAAATCAAAACCAATGCAAAAATCCATGGAGAACAAAATATCCGCATCTGAAATAGAGACAGGCTCAGTCCTGCACTGGCCCTGCCCTGCCCCCCTCTCCTCGCCCTGATCCCCCTGCGCCATTCTCTCACCCAAACTGTTCGCCTGACCTATGCCAGGCCCCTCCCCAGCGCCGAGGAAGTGGCCGTGACCGGGACAGACACTGTCCCGCCTCTGGGAGCCACGTTCCCGGGGGAGACACTGAGAGCTCCATGAGGGCAGGACTTTCGGTGTTCTGCCCCCTGAGGTGGCCCCGTCCCTAGGAGAGCTCTCGACATATCCTCTGTGCTTGATAAATTCGAAATAAAAGTAAAACAGCAGATACATGACGGGGTGGGGAGCAACAGGGCTTTGAAGAAAAAATAGGGCCAGGTCAAGGGGGTAGAGAGTGGCAAGGGCTGCTATTTAAGAAGGTTAAATAAGTCTGGTGGAACAGCATTCTAGGCAGAAGGAAGAGCAGCTTCGAATGCTCTGAAGAGGGAAACTGGCAACTCTTTTACATAGGAAGTCTAAAAGTTTGCACTGTCCATCTCTTAAGAAGCGATTATAATTTTTGTATCAAAATTAAGAGCTATATCACATATTTAAATGTAATACATTCATATTACATTAAAATATGCATATTAAAATATCATTCTATAATTTGACCCTCACAACGATCTTGTGAAGCTCAGTGTTATTATCCCAGTTTTTCAGATGGAGAACAGAGGCCGTACCTCAGGTTGCAAGACGTACAAATTGTTAATAAACACAGGGAGAGGACCTTGTGACTAAGAGAGCGGAGTGGGTGTGGTTTCATCTTAAAAGGCCTTTGTCCCACCTGACTTGTTTCATGAAGCCACGACAAGACTGGGATGCCAGTAATCTTTTGCCTCGTTGAGATGGGAAATGTCACACAGCAGTTAAATTCACCTAGATTTTTGACTTTGTTTTTAAATAAACAATTTTAGAAGGATTTTAGATTTACAGACAAGTTGTGAAGACAGTACAAAGGTTCCCGTCTGCCTACGCCTCGTCCACTTCCTCCCGTGTCAACATCTTATGTGACTGGAGTGCCTTTGTCAAAACTAAGAAATTAATGTGGGAATGATATTATTAACTAAACTATCAACTTATTGGGGTCATAGATTTTTCAACGAATCCCCTTTTTATGTTCTAAGATTCAATCCAGGACCCCATATTGCATTTGGCACACAGTTTAATTAGATAGAATTGTGGCTAATATTTGTGTAACTAAGGTTCTTTAAGAAATTAAACCCTCTGCCTCCTGCTCCCCAGCGCAGACTGTCACTAACCCTCTCAGTCTGACCGCTGTGAGGAGGTTTGGTCCTGGGAATATCGATGCTACCCATCTCTCCAGGTTTTTGTCGGATTCACCCCCATGGGGCGCTTACGAGCCTGGCTTCCCATATGCCTGCCTTGGGGTTGGTCTCTTGGGGGTCTTTCAGTCTGAAATTGAGATCACATTGTCTTTTTCAACAGAATTCTTACTGCCAAGGCGTCCAGTGTGCCTGCTTCTCCAAGGATGACAAGTATGTGTTTGTCGGCTTGAAGGATCGCTCCGTGATTGTCTGGAGTGTGCTGGATGGTGAGTCATTTTGCTTTGACGGAAGGACTAGGGTTACATCTGGAGAAGAAGGGCCTGTCCTGGGTCCCCAGCAGTAGAGGGCCCCGCTCTGGCTTCCTCGAGCTGGGCCCCTCCACTTAGGGAGGTGTCCCCAGGCCAAGGGGACAGGCCCACCTGGAGCTACACCTTCTCCTCCAGACCCACTATCTGGGCACCTAGAACTCCAGAACCCCCGCCCCACCTGGCCTTGGGCCATCTTTAGGGCAAGTGCAGACCTTTTCCCCAGGGCCATCTTTCTGAGGGTGGACTCTGCCCCCCGTGTGTGCACCCCTCGGCTCAGGGTGGGGCCGTGGGTGGTGTGCGTAGAGTCTGGATGTGTGAGCTGGGTGGGGGGTCACACATATATGTGTGAGGTCCCTAGGGGGGGATAGGATGGAGCTGGGTGTGGGAAGAGAAGGAGGGCAAGCCACAAACAGCTGGGGGCTGGCCCTCCTACACCGTTACATTCCAGCACGGAACTGAGGATCCCAAGAATTCCCAGCCCAAACCTAACCTTCCAAGTGGTTCTGAAGGTACATCCCTCAATGTGGGAGGCTAGAGCATATTTCATTTAATAGTTTATTAGCTAGATTTGCAACATTTACATATTGTGTCTGATAGGATGTGGGCCTTGACTCATTCTCTTGCCCCAGACCCCGTAAATGTTAGAGCCAGCCTGTTTAGGACAAACTGCTTTGAGCGCCCCATGCCTCTTGGTCTGTTCAATGTTACACTAAGTGCATATTAACAACAGTTAACATTTCTTGTGTATGAGGTGCTGTCACGGAGCTGTTTAATTCTCTCAATAGCCGCCCCATTTTACAGAGCAAAAACTGAGGCTCTGAGAGACAGTGACTTGCCCAAGGTCATACAGTGAGCAATTAGTAGGCTGTGATTTGAAGCAGGTCTGCCTGGTCCCCATGCTCATCTTTGTTACCTTCCCACACTGTCTCCTATAGAGAAGGGAACCCTTACGGCACTGGTCAGGGGGCAGAGGCCATTGCTATCCCCATTTGACAAATGAAGAAGATGCAGTTCAGAGAGGTTAAGGGACTTTTCCAAGGTCACAAAGCAAGTAATTGGCTGAAGGAATATCTCGTAGAGTTGAATACACTGCAATCAATCATTGTAACCTAATACACTGTAGTCAAATACAGGGCAATCTGATACAGTGTAGCAAAGATACCCGGCGCAAGTCGCAGATGGCTCAGAAGCTGCGGGCTGTGGATTGTGGCCTTAAAGGCCCATCCTTGGCAGGTTCACAGCCTCCCTTGCTATCCTTCCTCCAATAATCGTAATATTTACTGAGCTCACTCTGGGCTAAAACTGGTACTAAGCACCTGACATGCATGACTTCTTCACATCTTCAGAACTCTCCTCAAGAGGCAGGTGCTGTTAGCATCCCCGCATTGCAGATGAAGCAAGAGGGGCTCCGAGAGGCTGCATGTCATGCCTCAGATAGTAAAGGGTGTAGCACAGATCTCACCCCATGCAGCCAACTGCTGAATGTGTGAGATTGGGTCTCTGCGGCCCCTGTTTTCTCATCTGTGCCCTGCCCCCCACTCCCCACAGGCGCTCTCCTGGCTGTCCAGTTTGTCCATGCCGTGGTGAACAGAATCATCCCCACTTCCGATGGCTTCATTGCCCCTGCCAGACACGGCTATCTCATCCGTGAGCGGTTCCAGTGCCCTTCCTCAAGGGCCTCGCAGCAGGACCCTCTCAGGAACTTCAAGAAGGCCGTGTGGATGGTCAAATCCAGGCAGAGAGGAGAGCTGGCTGCTGCTGCAGGAGCGCTCCAGGACTCGGGATCAGGGAGTGCGCAGGGAAACCAGTCCAAATCAAACAAACGCTCACAAGTCTGCCTGATAGTGTAGAAACCCCGCAGGGCACGGGTCTCTGGTGAGTTAGCCTGTCCCATCTGGCTGAGGCGGACAGTGTCCGTGCTGATATGCATATCTGGACCCAAGGGCTCCGATTCTGTGACCCAGACCCTGCTTCTCACCATCTTTCTATTCCTCTCTCCTCCTTGTGGGCTCCATTCACAGACCTGCCACCCCCTGGTTAGCAACTTGGTGGCCAATATGCTGCCATCTCCAAGATCAGTAGAAAAGAGAGCTTCCTTTCCCAACAGTTTGAACCAAAGTCCTGGCCGCAAATCTATTGGCCCCACTTGGCTCACACACCCATCCCAGAACCAAATGCAATGCCATGGTTCTCTGGGAGAATGCAGTGAGCTGATTGGCTGGCCTGACTCAGTGCCCACCAGGGCTGAGGATGAAGTCAATACCACCCAACTATGTGGACTGAGAAGGGGCCAGCGAGGGGCTCTGTCTTGGGTGGGCATGGGCGCCCGGACCCTACCCCAGAATTGCCGTGGGGAAGGCAGCCCACTGGTGCCGGTGCCTTCCTGTCGTAAGCAAAGCCAGGATTCCAGACTTTTATGCAAAATGTTCCCATTTTTAAAACTTGGCGATTGGCCCGAATTTACATCCCCAGGCACGTTTGGCCTGTGCGTCTCTAGTTCGCGAGCTGACTTCGCGACCCAAGCTGGCATTAGAACAATAAACCTATTGTAGTTCTTTATCCATCCTCCCTGGCTCCCAGGCTTTGTGTTTAAAGATGCTTTTTTGTCTTAAAAACTGGAGGCTCTTGGAAGCAGATGGAAAGAGCTGGCAGCATCTCACGGCCGTGCTTTTGGACCGTCTCTGTCTTGAGCAAGTTCCACAGTCAAACGGTTTCCACTCCACTGGAGCGGGTCTTTCTCCTTCGCCCGCAGCTTTCTCAAAGCGACACTTGCTTCTGGTGCTTCTGCTCTAGGATGGGAGAACCTAAACCTTCAGGGTGCTATTCTTTTTTCCTTTCACTGGATTTGGAGTTTCAGAAAAGGTAACCTTTCAACCAGGAGCTCTTGAGCTGGATGCGACACTGTGGACCAGCTCACTCAGTCGTTTCCCAAACCAGGGTTCCAAGGACGGCTTCGGCAGTTCTGCAAATGTTAGCATCAAATCACACTTTTAAAAAATACTTTAAATTGTAATTTTAAAATGTGTGCTCAGGTGCGTCGGGTAGCAGGTTTTAAGGTGTTGGCAGTCACTAACTTAGGATTCTCCTGCCATCTGCATCTAACTTAGATTGCGAGGGAGCCCTGAAGAGAGAGCTGCTCCTTGCCACACTCCTCTGCGGATCAGGATTTCGCCCAGCACAGAAATAAAGGGGATGTTGTGACAGAGTGAGATCTTAGCTACAACTTCTGGTTGAAAATGTATGTGTCCATCTCAACAGCCTCAGGGAGAATCAAATGCTTTGTGTGTAAATACTAATTTGAATATAGGAAAAGAATTTTTACTAATAAAATGCTGTTCTGAATTGTCGCTTATGTTGCATTTTTTTGCAGTGAGCTTTTATTTGAGAAAGAGTTTGGTTGCTATGAATGTTTGTGGAGCACTGGACTTTGAGGAGAAAGGACTTGTCTGAGGTCTCCCAGCTGTGGCGGAGCTGGGGTGACAGTGTGGCCATTACAGTCCCCACCTTGCTCACTTACAGCTAAGCAGGAGCAGGTCACCAAACTGGGACACTTTTTGAGAGTGAAAGGGCTCACTAAACTCCCAGACAACTGAAATAAACTGGACTGTCCCAAGACAATTGGAATATACAGCCCCTCTTGTTGCAGCAGGAATTAATTTATGTTAAATTCTAGAGACTTTTTTTCTTTTGAGGAAGATTAGCCCTGTCGACGAAAATAATCCATAACCAATCTAGTAATGAAAATTTGGGAGAGTTTATTCTGAGCTCAAATCTGAGGACCATGGCCCGGGGCCTTTCTTCCTGAAGAAAGAAAGGGCACCAAAGAAGTGGGGTGCACAGAGTGGTTATATCCCCCCAGAGAGGATGTTTCACATAGGATTGAAATGTCCCTTTTACAATAGTTGCGAGACTGCTCTGTGGGCACAGCGATTGATGGAAACAGCAGGTAGGTCTTCTGTCTTGGTGAACACAGCAGGGTGGCAGTCTGTTGTCTCAGGCTGGGTGGTCACAGGTGAGCTGGGTGGTCAAAGGTGAGTGCAGCAATCAGTTCCTAGCCTAAGGAAAGATGTTTATCCCTAAGGAAATGCCAAGGTTGGGAGGGGGAGGGAAGTTGCACCTTTATCTCAGGGCCTTTGTTCTTGCCATAGGGAATGTATATACAACGCATGCTCAACAGCCACAGTCAGGTCCTTTTGGAAAAAACAAAGTCAGGCCGAATTAGGTTTATACCAAATGGCTTCCTCATATACTCCAATATATCCTATTGCTTGCCATTTTTATTTGTCAGCCCTGAGCTAACATCTGCTGCCAATCCTCCTCTTTTTGCTGAGGAAGACTGGCCCTGAGCTAACATCCGTGCCCGTCTTCCTCTACTTTACATGTGGGACACCTACCGCAGCATGGCTTGACAAGTGGTGCCATGTCCACACCCGGAATCCAAACTGGTGAACCCAGGGCCACCGAAGTGGAACATGTGAACTTTTTTTTTTTTTCTTTTAAAGATTGGCACCTAGGCTAACAACTGTCGCCAATCTTCCTTTTTTTTTTTTAAGGATTGGCACCTGGGCTAACAACTGTTGCCAATCTTTTTTTTTTTTTCTGCTTTATTTCCCAACCCCCTCCCCCTGCCCCCATACACGGTTGTATATCTTAGTTGCAGGTCCTTCTAGTTGTGGGATGTGGGATGCCGCCTCAGCGTGGCCTGATGAGCGGTGCCATGTCCATGCCCAGGATCCAAACAGGCAAAACCCTGGGCCGCCGCAGCGGAGCACGTGAACTTAACCACTCGGCCACAGAGCCAGCCCCTACGTGTGAACTTAACTGGCCCCGAGGCTTTTTTTAAATTGAGGTATAATTGACACATTACAGTAGTTTCAGGCGGACAGCATAACAATTCACTGTTTGTGTAGATTGTGACATGATCACCACAGGTACCATCCATCACCAGACATAGTTACAGATGTTTTTCTCTTGTGATGAGAACTTTTAAGATCTACTCTCTTAGCAACTTTCAAATACACAGTACAGTGTTGTTAACTGCAGTCGCCGTGCTGTACGTTGCATCCCCAGGACTTATTTATTTTAAAACTGGAAGTTTTTGCCTTTTGACCCCTTTTCCCATTTCACCTACCCTCCCCCTCCGCCTCTGTCAACCACCAACCTGTTCTCTGTATCTGTGAGTTTGGTTTCTTTTTAAAATTTATTTATTTTTAAATTCACTTTATTTTAACAGTCTAAACAGTTTTTATTACTTATCTCAACTTGAAAATGTTCAAAGCTACAGCAGAGTTGCAATCTGGGGAGAATGAACACGCATTTACTCACCACCAAGGTTCCAGGATTGTCGTATCGCTGTCAATCGTCTGCTAGACCCTTTCAAAGTGAGGCCCGGGCTAGGGTGACGGGAGGGAGGTAGTCCTCTGGGCACAAAGGTTAGAAGGGCACCCAAAACCTCAGCAATCAGGATAAATAATATTTTATTACCATATTTTTAAGGCAATCAAAATGAATAAAAAATCCATGATGAACAAAATGCTAACATTTTAAACAAAAACGGGACCTGACCCTGCTCTTGCAGAAACTTCCCTCGCTGTCCTCATCCACTTCCAGCGCTGGTCACACCAAGACACCTCAGCCCCCAAGTACTTCAGGATGAGTCTCTTAGGAACCAGGTCATTCTCCTACGTAACCACACACACCTACGCAAACTAACAGTTGTTATTTAATATCGGTATTTAATAGGCATCCCTAATTTTCCTAATTAGCCCAAAACACCTTTTATAGCTGTTTCTTTCAAACTAGGATCCAATCAAGATTTGGTTGTTTTATCTCTTTAGTCTTCTGTCCTGGAGCGGGAACTGCAGGCCCGCCGCCTGGTCTGCACGTCCATCTTATTGGAACGCAGCCACGTCCGTTCATTCACATATTGCCCAAGGCTGTTTTCATCCTGCAGCGACAGAGAATGCATGGCTCCAGAGCCAAAAATATTTACAATTTGGCACTTGACAGAGAAGCAAGCCGGCCCTGGTCTTAAGGCTTGATTAGATTCAGGGTAAAGATTTTTTTCCCTTCTTCTCCCCAAAGCCCCACAGTACGTAGTACGGATTTCCCACACGCCCCTGCCTCAACACACACAGCCTCCCCACCGCAGGCGGCACGTTAGTCACCCGGTGAACCTGCGTGGAGACATGAGAATCAGAGCGGAGCCCTGGGGATGAGGCTGCTTGCTAGGAGGCTTAGTCGTCTATTGCTGCAAAACAGATAGCCACACACTTACCAGCTGAAAATAACAGCTAGTTATTAGCCCGCAGTTTCCGTGGGTCAGGAGTCCAGCCTCAGTGTGGCTGGGTTCTCTCTGCAGGGGCTCACAAAGTGTCAGCAGGCTGGCATCTCCCCGAGAGGCTCAGAACCCCCTTCCACGCTCCCTCAGGCAGGTGGCAGAACTGAGCTCCTCGCAGCTGTAGGGCTGGGAACCTCAGCTCCCAGGCCACCCCTCCTCATAGGCATTTCACCATGCGGCTGTTTCCTTCTTCCAGGCCAGCAGGGGCGCATCCCTCTATTGCTGCGAGGCGCTGACCTCCAGACTGGCTTTTAAAGGGTGCCCCTGATTACGTCAGGCCCATCCAGAATAATCTCGCTTCCCATAAACTCAAAATCAACTCATTTGGGACCTTAAATACACCTGCAAAATCCCTTCGCCTTTGCCATGTGGCATAACCTAATCTCAGGAGTGACAACCATCATGCTCACGGGTCCTGCCCATGGTCCAGGAAGGGGCCCGGCACACACTAGGGGCGGGACTCTCAGGGCCCATCTCAGAATTCTGTCACAACACGTGACTCTGGGCTTAGAGATTCTGGTCATAAAGCTTGACACCTGGAAAGACTTAGATTAGTTCAAAATAGGATCTTTCAATCTTCTCTTTCTGACCTTGCTGAAACAGTGTCCAATGAAAGACCTACCTATGAGTCTTAGCTTAATTCCATTCAATTTGCAAAACGGTCAGGAATTTGTGTTCCAGCTTCGTCTATCTAAACTGTCAACTCTAAGGTGTTCAATTTAATCTATGTGGATGAGGATAGTAAAGAAAAAATCCAACTTAGTAACTTTTTATGCCTTATAATGAATGAAATAAGAATGAAAAATGTATGTGTACTATTGTCCACATGTTGAACACACACACATATGTGCACACACACACACACACATATACACATGCATATACACTCGTGCCCAAGGTGGAACTGGCTTGTGGTTTCCTGTTCTCCAAACGAGTAAGGGCTTCATTTGACCATATGAAATCTATGGAAATTATGAAAAACTGAAAGTGATCCTTGAAATTTGAACAGAATCCACACTCCTTGGGGAAGGGGGGGCATCGTGAGAGGACCCCGTCAGCATGTCAGAAGCCCACGCAGGCCTTTGGTCCTCGAGGACAGTGACCGATAGGTTGCCAGGCAGAGTTGGTGTGAACAGACTGTCCAGACGTCTGGCGGCCGCCAAGGGTTCAGGTCGCCTTAGCTGCTGCTCATACAGGAAAGCGCTGCAACTGAGCCAAATTCCTTTCTGGGCCGGGAGCCATGTGTCCTCCATGCTTCCTTCCCCTCACCCCCCACATTCACCCAGCGCCACATCCTTTCTGCTTTACCTTCTAAATATCGCTCCCTTCCATCCCCTCCACTCTCCCTTCCTGGTCTAAGCCACCATCATCCTTTGCCTGAACAATGAACGGCCTCCCCACCCCACCCCCCATCTCCCGCTCCCCTCCAATCACCTCCCTGCAGAGCAGCCGGGCGTTGGCTTCCAAAGTCAAAGCTGCTTAAGCAGCTCCTTGCATAAAAACCGTGCGGTTTCTACCAGCGCTAAATGCCAAGACCAAAAACCTTAACTCATCCCAGAAGGATGAGTGGGCTGCCCTCTCTGGCCTCTCCACGTTTATCCTGCACCCTCTCTCCCCCTCCCGTTCCTCTGCAGTCTGAGAACACTGGTCTTTTTAAAAAAGTTATTCACATGTGCCAAACTCCCTCCCGAGGGCCTTTGCACAGCTGTTCCCTCTGACTTTTCTCATGGTGAATGTCTACTCATCCTTCAGATCTCAGCTAGAATGCCACCTCCTCCAGGAAGCCTTCCTCAACCCTGCTAGACTGAGTTAAGTCCCCCTGGTAGCAGGTGCTATTTTCCAAAAATGGTCATGGCAATATTTCCTGTCCCCCATGCTATTCCAGAACCTGGCCATTCCCCAGGTTCTAGAGTCTGTCTACCCTCCTCTTGAACTTGGGAGGGACTTGGAACGGCCACTATGCAAAGACTGAAATGGAGATGATTCTGTGTGACTTCTGAGGCTGGATCAGAAAAGGCAATACGGCTTCCACCTGGCTCACTCACTCCTCTCAGACGATTGTTCTCGGAACCCAGCGGCTATGTGGGGAGGAAGCTCAGGCTGCATGAGGAGGGCACATGTAGGTGTTCCTGGCACCAGCCCCAGCACGGGTCTCAGCCTACTGCCAGCAGCAACTGACAGATACGTGAGCGAGTAAACCTTCAGGGGATTCCAGACCCAGCCTTCCAGCCACCCAGCTGACACCAAGGAGCCAGGGATGAGCTCTCCCTGCCAAGCCTGCCCAAATTCCAGATTGGGGAGCAAGATAAATGTTGTTGTCATTCTAAGCCTCTAAATCTTGGGGTGGTTTGTCATACAGCCAGAGTAACTGTTACACTTGTACCTTCTCTTCGAAGTGTCTGTTCCAGCTGAAACTTTACATCTGTGTGTGTGATTGTTTGATTCCTACCCTTCTATGAGGGCAACAGCCTTGTCAGTCTTGGTTACGATTCTATTCCTGAAACCTAGCACAGTGCCTGGCAGATGATCATTCATTGCCAATGTATTCTCAGCTTTCCCGTACCTCTTCACATATAAAAAGATGCCCTTTGGTCATTGATTGAATGTTCATTCATTTAATAAATGCTCATTGATGTGGCTCCGTGTCAGGGATTTGTGTTAGAAATGAAGCACAAAACGCAGATGATGTACAAGGAACTATGGGAGGGCGGGGGAGGGGGAGGGTAGCTTCCTGAAGGTGGGGACATTTGAGTTGTGTTTTGAAGTATGCGTAGGTATTTTCTGGGTGATGAAGAGACAGAAGAGGGCAAAGGAAATGGTATGTGCTGAAGCATGGGACCAGGGAGCAGCCAGGCTGGGCAGGCATTGGCAGGAGGTTCTGCACAGACAGAGGGCAGCTTGCGTGGGTGGAAAATTCTGCAAGAAAAAATTCGCAAGGGCTAGGTTCTTATGGCCTTCAGCGCTGCATGTAGGTGCTTAGATTTCTCTCACAAGAAATAGGAAAACCTTGGAGGTTTGGAAGCAGCTGTGGACCCATCTCAGCTCTTGAGAGCACCGGGGCTGGGAAAACTGGATAAGAGGCTCCTGAACTGGTCTAGTTGGGAAGAGGTGGGGACAGGACTAGGGAGGTGAAGGTAGAAGGGCAGCACTAAGTCAAGAGCCATTTAGCAAAAATTCACTGGGCAGGGCCCTGAGTTATGATGCTGTGCGCCCATACCCGGTTGTCACACCAACCCTAGAAAGGAGAGGTCCACAAACATTGTTTAGTAAATATATCAGGCTCTGCAGATCTTAGGATCTGTTGCAGCTGCTCATCCTGCTGTCACAGCCGAAAAGCAGCCAGAGACGATGGCATGTAAACGAGTGGGCGTGCCTGTGTGCCAATAAAACTTTATTTTACAGACACTGAAATTTGAATGTCATAGAATTTTCACGTGTCACGAAATAGTCTCCTCTCTTGGACTTTTTCCAACTTAAAAAAATTATAAAAGTCCTTCCGAGCCTGCTTGCGGGGCGGGACAAACGCAGAAGCAGGTCTTGGTTTGCCGACCTGTGCTACATAAAGTACGTACTGTGTTGGTTAGGATTTCAGCCTTAGGGACAAGATCCCAGAGAGAGGCCCTCAGCAGCCCCGCCCCCTCCTTGACGTAGGCAAGCCCCGCCTCCAGGGTGGAGCCTGCGCGTGCGCGGCCGGCTCTCGGGGGGGGGCGGGGCGGGCCGCGGCTCCGACTTCCAACATGGCGCACGCTGGCGGTGGCGGCGGCGGGGGCCCCGCGGGCCGGGGGCTGAGCGGCGCCCGCTGGGGTCGCTCGGGCTCCGCGAGCCACGAGAAGCTGCCGGTGCACGTGAGTGGCGCCCCCGCCCTCCCTCGGGGACCCCGTTGTCTGGCCCCCGCAGGCCTGCGCTCCCCACCCGAGCCCCGCCCGGCCCCGTCTCGGCCTCCTCTCCGCGCAGCCCGGGACCCCGGACCCCCGACACTCGACCTCTCACCTCGGGCCCTCCGAGCCGCGGCCCCACCCCCTCCCCGGCAGGGACCCCCGACCCGTCCTCCGCCGACCGCGGCCCACCGCGACCCTCCCCCTCCCTGCAGGTGGAGGACGCCCTCACCTACCTGGACCAGGTGAAGATCCGCTTTGGCAGCGACCCTGCCACTTACAACGGCTTCCTGGAGATCATGAAGGAGTTCAAAAGCCAGAGGTACCCGCGGGGCCCCCTCCCCGAGGGGCCGCCCTGGGCCGCAGGCGGGCCCAGCCGGGTGGGAGCCCCCAGCCCCGCCGCCCCCAGGCCGAGTGACCTTGTGCAGGTCGTCGAACGTCTCGGAGCCTCCGTTCCTTCTTCTAAAAGGCGGGATTGGAGAGTCCCCCCTTGTGGAGCTGTTGTGGGCCTTCCTGGAACGAGGACAGGGATCGGGGAGAGGAGAGCGAGGCGAGTCCCGCAACCGCAGGGTCGGATCCTGTCTTTAACTCAAAATGTTGGTTTTCAAATGAATTTTGTTCATTAAGGATTTTTTTAAGTTAATTTTGATTTTTTTTTTCAAGCACTGTGACAAAATGTTATTTATCTTGTTTACTGAATGTTTTGGCACCCTCTCCCCCTCAAATCTTATCCCCGAGGTGAGTGCCTCCCTGGGCTCACCCTCCTCTCAGCCCAGCTTCAAGTCATGTGCAAAATATGCCTGGTGAGGGACCTGGCACACAGAAAGGATTGAAAGCACATTGGCTGTTTTTTGTGGGCGCAGAATCAGGAGGGTTAGAGATAGATGGGGGAGCTCATGATCATGCCCTTGTTTGACAGGAGGCTCAGTGAGGCTTCGAGTAGGCGGGGGGCTTGCCCAGACCCACCTTAGGGGCAAAGGCAGGACTGGAACTCAGGCCCTCTGACTCTAGATTCTCCACTGTCACATCCCCACCATGCTCCTGCCCCCTCTGAGGAAATGGGGCAGGGATGGGCAGGTTTCCTTCCACAGGTGGGATGCTAAGGCCTTGAGCCTTGACTGCAGCCATGAGGGAGACACCCACACTTGCAGGACCTTTGGTCTTTATGCATTGCGATCTGTTGCTGGGATCAACTCCTGTGTCATAGTTGATCCCTAATTCATACGAAATGAAGGAATTTATCACATCACTTAGAGGGCTTTGGCCTCTTGCCACTTCTTGAAGTCCAGGACTGGCACTTGCTCTCCTGACATTTTCAGAACCAGGCTCGCGTGCTTGGAGTATTTTGGGAAGCTGTGTTGTGTAGATATTTTGTGGTTCTCGCCAGGAGGGCACAGGAGCCCAGGCCTGGCTGCTCTGAAGTTAGATCACTGCCCACAGAATCATACCAGTCACGTTTTCTGGTGCTCGTGGTCAGTCCAGAAGCTGGTTACAGGGCACCGTCAAGGGAATTGGGAGTAGATTCGCTTTTAATTTGCTCCCCAAGACACTTTTGCCCGCTCCTGTTCTCTGTTCCAGCATCGATACTCCTGGAGTCATCCGACGTGTCTCGCAGCTCTTCCACGAACACCCAGACCTCATCGTTGGATTCAACGCCTTCCTCCCCCTCGGGTACAGAATTGACATTCCCAAGAACGGCAAGTTAAACATACAGTCGCCTCTGTCGAGCCAGGTATGCGGCGGCAGTGGTTTGAGGGATCTCGGCCTCCACGCGGCCCACCCTGCTGCTCAGGGTGGGTGGTGGGGCTCGGGTATGTCACTGAGAGAAAGCCAGTGAAGGGCCAGTCTTTTTCTAGGCGTGCTGATCACCTCTAGCACAAATCAAAATAGATCGAAACACCTGCACAGGCAGCCTCTGCATCCTGAATTGATCTGTTTGGAGGGTTTAAATCAAGAGTGGATGTGTTTGTGTGTGGCTGGGAGGCATTCTTCTAACACGGGTTTCTGTCCGGTCAGAGTAATGGTGTCCATGGTTGCCGAGGGATTGGCTCAAGCTTTCCCTGTGAGGGTACTTGGCAGGCCACGCTTGTACTTGGGCACGTGGTCCCTCTGGTCACTCTTGGTGCCACCCACAAAATAAAGCAGTTGAGATGCGTGTATGAGTGGCTGTTCTTATTGTCGCTGTGCTTCCCTGGATTGTCAGCGGGGCACAAGCTCAGGCTTGTGGCATCGGTCCTTCTCTCTCGGGTAACAGCTTAGCTCTGCAGTCCCTTCTTGATTGAGCTCACCAGGCCCCCTGAGGAAAAGAAAGCCTATTTGAGCTTTACTTTTCTAGGATAACCCTTGTCTTTTTTCTCCGCCTCCCGCCCTGTTGCCATTTAAGGCAAAATGTTTTGCTGCAGGGGGGTGGGGGGTCCCTGTCCAGTGCATTGGGGATGTTTAACA